GAATTGCCTTGCCACGAAATTTGGTGCTGCCACAACCAAGTAGGGGCTGCAGGGTTTTGTCGGAATTCGTTGACAATGACGGCAAACCTGAAGCGCTGTACCGTTGACAGCGGCGCCAATGAATCCCGATCATGTTGTTCAGATGAACTCGCTCGTGAATAAATCTTCCGGTACACGCCCAGGTTCCACATTTCCGAAGGTAGAAGTGTATCAGGTAGATCACGGTCAACTACTCGACAAATGACGTCAAAGTGCCATGCTCGGCGAACGGCACTGTCCAGATCGCCTCCACCCGATGCACAGAGTACTTTCTGGAACTGCGCCCAAAGAGACTGAGCAAGTTGAGTCAGAGCAGAACTACACGATCTCTTCGTTAAGCATAGCAGAAGAACCATCGAATGAGTCAATAGCACCTTTTATCAACCCGAACGATGTCCCTCTTGTCAAACTGAACCCCGACCATGATGCAAGCAAGAAGGGTGCAATTAGCTATGGTTTGAGGCGACGGAGAGGAAGGAGAGCATAGGAGTTTTGATACAACTGTCGTAGCGAGTTTTTCTGTGTCTTCATCCACTCGCCCTATGACAAAGTGGAAAGGAAGAGTGCGAGATAGCCACTCGAGGACAGAATCGGGACAAGCCAGGAATTTCGGTGGAGAAGGCCACCACTGTGGTTCATAATTCGCATGAAAAAGCTTGGTTGTTGCAACAACCACATTGTCATTGACTTTTGTCCTCTCCAACATCCATTCCAACACGTCACGGTCTGCGCTTCCCTGGCCACGAAATCCATAGGCAGGATGTCCCTGAAGAATGCGGCCGCAGTATAGGTGACAAAGAGCCATTATACATGCCGATGCCTTCTCTTCCAACGACGGTGCAATTTGGCTCTGAACGCCCAAGCTCATGTAAACATCATACAGCTGATGCAGCATGTCGGAGACGTCAAAATCCAGTGGCCAGTCGACATGAGGAACAAGGCTAGCAGCGACGAGAAATACTTCAGGATCCGTGGACGTCTCGAGCAGCCACTTGACGCTAGGTGCTTCGAGGGAGCTGGTTGGTGTGTCTGGCAGGTAAAGGCGGTGATTTGTGGCTATAAAGTTCCAGTTCTGGTCAGGCGGTTGTGCTTCAGGGTCCACGAGACTTGTCGGAGCGCGGAGAACCAAAGAACGCAGCCAGTGTGTGGTGCGTTGCAGGACGCTAATTAATGGCTGGAGACAATGCCATGTGAATGAGCGGACGGCAAATGCAGTGTCTGTTGAGAAAAATGAGCACTGGATATCCAGTGCAATAGTAGGTAAGAATGTCACCATAATAGAACTCAAGTCCAACTGTTGAGTATACGATGTAGCGCATCTACATAGCAAGAAACGGTCAAGGCTTATGCATACATAAGAAACGTAACTCACCGTGCACAATTGTGATTGACTTCCGAACATACTGGGAGACCAATTTGACCATTGGGCGTAAAACTCCTGCGATTTTGACTCAACCGGGAAATAACCACCAGAATCCAAAAAACGAGCTTACTGTCAATTCGCATTATGCGCAAGATCGTCGATATCGGCGTCTGAAATGGACACGCGGGAGATACCAAAGCTGCCATCACCGTCAGGGAATAAAACAAAAACCCAAAGACCGTGGATGCAATGATGACCCAAGCGATGGTGTGCTGCTGAGACCACATGTTGGCGCTGAGGGCGATCCCGAACAGGAGAAGGGAGATTTGAAGCAGGACCGGAAAGGATTGCAAGACAGCATTCAAGTACCATGCGACAATGCCATCGAACTTCTCTTGTCTGCGCTTCGCTCGTTCCTCCTGCGAGCCGCGGCCATATCGGTGCGACTTGTAGTAACCGAGCCACTGCTTGCCTAGCACGGCCCCGAAAGCAGCAAGTAAACTGAAGGACAAGCTTGCGTAGGCGATAGATTGGATCCTTATAGTAGATGTGGATGGTGACCAGGTAGATGCTGGCGCTACTGGCGTAGACCCAGCTGCCGTGAAGTTGCCAAGTCCGATTTGGACGAGCTGCGTGAGAAGGGCATGTGTGGTGTCGTTTGGGTCTGGACTGAGATTGGACTCCATGGCCACAATGAAAGTTGTGCTGACGGCGGAGAACTAGACCAGACTAAGGGAACATCAATCACAACACGAGGCAAAGACGAGGATGTGAAATTTACAAAAACTAACACGATGTCCATGTCGCTGTTATATCGCTCAAGAAACTCGTCGTCGTGTTCCTCGGCGACTCTTTTGTATAGTCCCCAAAAACGAGAGCGGTTGTCCTTGCCGCCCTTTGAGGCAATCGTCGAGTCCTTGAGAACGTCTAACACTTGCTTCATGACGTTCACTCTGCGGGAATGGCATAATTAGGTGTGATCATCGGCTCAGTTGGTCGCTTACATTTCACTTGGACTTGGCTGGTCCTCTTGGACTTCGTTTTGGGCCTTACTAAGACGACATAACTTATAAGCATGTTCGAGATTGTGACTGAGTAGAACTCACGCAGCTAATTTGAAGGCGCCTTCAGGTAAATTATTGGAAGTACTTGCCTGTACGCGAGGTTCTGGTGGCTGAGGAGGCACAGAGTTCGACCTGCAGATCGTGTAAGGAGGGCGTAAAATAATCGGGGCAGAAATGCTTACATTCCCGATGACATTGGCAGCTGCATCATCGACGGTCCAGAATTTTCCTCCCCACTATATTCCTATCAAATGGAGCACCAACAGTCGAAGAATTCGCAACTTACTCCTCAGCGAGTGGTAGAATATCATTTTGTAAAGGAGGGTGATCGTCAAGGCGAGCGCTCTGATCACGATCCAGGGCGCCGTCCGTGTTACCCTCTTGTGATAATGTTCGGCTACGATTTGAGGAGAGTGATACTCTCGACATGAGTATGATGTAGGAATGGAGGGAAGAGTCGACTAAGGCGAGGCGAGTAATATCGATAAGACCCTGGATTGAACATGGTAGGATCAAGGTAGTATAGTGCAGTAGTACAAGCGCTATACGTAATAAGGTGAGAAATGTTCGTGAACCCCTGCAGGACATCACAACCGTGACAACAAAGTTCAAACACTAAATCTTGTCACGCTCTATCTGCGCCCCGAGCCGACAAGGACTCTGTGCAGGCGCTCTAGCAAGGCAAGCAGCTGGGCTGCTGGATGAGACGTGGCGCGTAGTAGGTCTATCATGCATGTTTCGCTTTGCATTATGGTTTCTCGTTCTACATCCATGTTCAGGGACACCTATGGTTTAGTAATTCATGCCTTTCATTGTGTATCCGAGTCAATGCAGCTAGAACTAGATTGTACCCAACCAGTACCATATGAAAATCGGATAGCTAATGATGCTATAAAAGTGGCATGAAGGGCCTCCTGCAGCCGCTGCAGCGGCCACAGCCACTAGTAGACTATCAGGGCCCGTGCGACGACGCCCTGCCGAGAACCAATATTGCTTTTCCGAGGCATTTATGTAATGCACATACAGGATATGATATTGCATAATTCGACATATGCTTAACTGACACAATCACCAAGAGCAATCGTTTGCGGACAGTACTCAACCGTACCATTCAATTCTCCAGTGTCCTGTCACGGTGTTCCAAGCTCCTGTCAGCAAATCTCACATCCCAAGGATCGCACTCACCGTTACATAGGGACAGATGATCTCCGTGCCGGAATTCTCCTCATAACTACGCACACGATGAGTATATGCGCGCAGCTGAAAGCATGCAGACTCACGTGCAAGTAGTGATCCCATAAGTCGACCCTTTGTCAAAGACAAGCGTCGCAGTACCGCCATCTGTCTCAATGTCTTCTGGACATATAGCGCATTGAGCTTCTCGCGGAAGTCGTGCAACGCCTAATCTTGCTCGACCACGAACAGCACGCCCTAAGTGGCGGCTTGGAATACCCACTGCAACACTGATGAAAGATGCACAGAGAATGAGAGCTGCGACAGTCAACAGTATCATGGTACTAGGTCAGATCAGGGAACGAAATAACTCAATGTTGGGTAGCTGGCTGTCTTTTGTCTTTTGTCTTTTGTCTGCGTCCATTTTGACACCCGAGCTAACCAGACATCGCTCATCTTCTTCAACAGGATATGCTAAGATTTATGGTTTCAGCAGCATGTGGAGAACCGAAAATATACTTGGCTGGTCTTCACAGAACAATAGAGAGGACAGTATAGGAATGGGATTGTGCATGTGATCACCTAATACACCAGATCACCGTGACATGCAAATGATCAGACGCTGCATAGTCAGCTAGTCACTACAGTCACCCTTCGAACGGTCCCGATTAAATTAAAGAAACCAGCAAGTTGCTTGCATGCAGGCTGAGCGCCGAGCATGCTACCGTGTGCGGAGTTCAAAGGCAGAAATGCAAAAAGTGCCTAGAAGTAACGAAGCCTTCAAATTATGCTTTAGAACACCTAAATCTTCCTTGCAGTAACAGTGTTACTCACCGTAGCAGCAGGGCTTTTGTGTGTCGCAAGGGCGTTGCCACGGTTCTTCAAATTTACCGTAACTATTTGTTTGAGCAAGTCCTGCAATCTCTTCAGGCCACAGCGGTCCATGGAAGTTGATACTTCAGATCTTCAAATCGCTCGTGATTATGAGATTCGCAGTCTCCCTTCAAGTTACTAGTAGGCAGAGTCCAGACCAAGAACCGCGGCAACTCCGAGTCACAGCCTGTGAAACATTCCTCGTGCAAGTTGATCCAGACTCTGCCGAGAGCTTCGAATCTAGAAGCATACTGTTAGTCTATAGAGAGTGAGCTTCTCCGTACACAGGTATCTTGCTGTGCAAAGAACTTTGCATCATTTTATAGTGTGCCAGCTGGAAGCTTCTCGTTTGCCGTATTTGTTTCGAGGCGGTCTAGTTCGGAGGAGGTATTAAAAAAAAGTTCTCATTGTAGTAACGGATTGTTTCACCTGCACGACAAGTACTGCACTGCAGCACAGGAACAAAAATTGGGCTTGGCTCCTGATCCTGCATTGACCGAGAGTCGAACTCGGAGCGCGGCCACACCGCATTCAAATTGATGGGAAGACCGCATGTTACCGCTACACCATCAATGCATCCTGGGACACCAAACTTGTGTACATACGTTGCAACAAAGTGGCGTGATTGATTAGATCCTTTCATGACGACTGTCTTCATTCCATTTGTCTGCCCAGGGAGACTTTCCTTTTACTACCATGAGCGCATCTTCGAGCAATCAACCGGACATGAATTCGAAAAGAAAACCACATGTCATCATCACGATCGGGATGGCAGGGGCTGGCAAGTCCACCTTCGTGCAGCGCATCAACTCCTACCTCCACTCCCAAAATCCTCCACAACCACCATACATCCTAAACCTCGACCCAGCGGTTACCCATGTGCCATTCGAAGCCAACATTGATATCCGGGATACCGTCAATTACAAAGAGGTCATGAAACAGTGTGTTGCTGTTTCCATCTGGACAGTAGTGCATGAATAACGGAATGGATCATTACAATGCAAGGTACAATTTGGGACCGAACGGTGGTATTTTGACCGCCTTGAATCTTTTTACGACAAAATTCGACCAGGTTCTGGACTTGGTCGAAAAAAGGGCTGAGACAGTCGAGTACGTGCTTGTCATTTTATTCTCCACTCGCTCTTACTCCTCCCCGTACACCTACGCAGTCACATAATTCTTGATACTCCGGGGCAAATCGAGATTTTTACCTGGTCAGCATCTGGCGCCATTATCACAGATGCCGTTGCTTCCTCGTTTCCCACTGTGGTGGCGTACATCATTGATACTCCACGGACGACAGCTCCTGCAACATTCATGTCCAACATGTTATATGCCTGCAGGTGAGCACTGCGTCATATAACAGTCCAACAATACGTGACGCATTATTAGTATCATGTATAAGACAAAATTGCCATTCATCCTTGTCTTTAACAAGATTGACGCGCAACCCCACGATTTTGCTCTCGAATGGATGCAAGATTTTGAGGCATTTCAAGTCGCTCTTGCATCCCATTCAGGATCGAGGGACTCGGAAGGTGAACCAACCTATATGAACAGCTTAATGAATAGCATGAGTCTGGTTTTGGATGAATTTTACAAGCACCTCAAGGTAACTGCACCATGTCGTTCTGTAGAAAGCATATCTGATCGTATTACAGGCCGTCGGCGTCTCAAGCATGACAGGTGCCGGCATGAAGGAATTCTTTGATGCGGTGGAAGAGTCTCGTGAGACATATAGGACGTACGTTTTATCTTCAATATTCTTGCTTTTTTCCTTATTTTTCTCCGTGTCTACAGTGAATATCTCCCAGAAATTGAGCGCGCCCGCGCGGCACGGGAACAATCACTACAGGCTATAAAAGAGGACTCAGTAAACCGCCTCATGAAAGATCTTGCCGTTGATCGTGCCGCAAATCCCAAGGCAGCCGCAGAAGACCGCTGGGCGTCGGACGAGGAGGATGACGACGACGAAGACCTGGAAGTCAACCTCATCGATCGGAGTGAGTAACTTGCCAGTCCTTTCGCTCGACTTTCTGGAAACTTTTTTACTAGGCGAAGAACCATATCCTGGTCAATACATCGATGTCACACGTATGCGACATCAAAGTGAGAATATCAATTGGCCGAACCCAGGATGAAATTCATCATTGAATACGCGTTTTATTCAACGTTAACATGGTCTACTCTACCATTCGTAAGTAGAAGCAGGAGAACTCCGTAATATTTACATTATTACTGTCAATTTCGTGCACAGCACTGATAAGCATTATCAAATGAACGTGTCAACATTACAACGCGCAAGATGAAAGATTCGTGTGATAACACGAGGGCTCACCATCATTAATTGAATGATTTGTCGCTCGAAATTGCAGGTCTTGTGACGATTGTCTCATTGCTCCTCATTGCTCTCGTTTATAACTTAAACAACTCTTTTTTGAAGTGTCGTTTGTTCACTGAGTAATGCCAACGATGAATGGGGTCTACGTGGCAAGAGCACAAATGAATTAAATGGCACCCTGCGCTTACCATGAACTTCATAGCGCTGGAGTGAAGCGATGACAGTGGTTTCACATGCAAGATCTGAGGTCATGGGAAGGTGGCTCTATTGTTAAGCCTTGACAACCAAATGGCAGACAGCATGAATGCTTGCTGATATTATTCTAGCCACCTCAAGAGCTCCGGTCCGACGGGGCTCCTTTGGACATACCGTTTCTGCCAGTGTACAGCGAGCGGTGGAAAAAGGTTGAACGCTTTCGTAGCCTGAAGGAAAGCACGAAAGATAGTGAAATTCACAAGTGAACCCTGAGGACCCAGGTCGATGGAACGTGTAGTACTTACATTAATATTGTCAAGCAGGGAATAAAACGGTTGTTGCAATGAATGTTTCGGTGAGAATGACAGCAGTGGCGTTTGGTGGTCGCATTTTGCCGAAAGGCTCCTTATATGACCTCGACCAGGTGCATCCCTGGCGCGTATCTCCACTGCATTCCACTAGTACTACCATCACAACTCTCTCAAAGGGTTAGCCACGAGCGCTGAACATTCTCAATCTCGCCAACTTCCAAATTATCAGCTTGTGAGACGAGTCGACGAGCTCGCCTTTACTTGATTTTTCGTATTACCCGTCAAGGTTTCATCTAGATTGACCTGTAGACACCATTTCCCTCTCATCCACGCAATAGCCTTTCCATTGATACCGATACTCGCTTTTTACAGTCAACCAGAATATTACAGACAGTGCGCTCTTTTGACAGATGGATCGGTGCGCACCTCGTTTCTCACTCAATGGTTGACAAAATCAACTGATTTTGCTGAATTATAGCTACGCAAAAATAGAGAAAGTCGGTGCGTGCCTCTCGTGTGTTCACATCAGACTACGATGAACTGGTGTGGCGCACGTTGTAGGAGAAGGTGCGGTTATACCGCCCACTTTCGTTGTTTATCGCTGACGCGCATTCAGGCACATATGGAGTTGTTTATAAAGCGCGGGACGTCACAACGAATCAGATTGTGGCCCTAAAGAAAATTCGACTCGAAGCAGAAGATGAAGGGGTCCCGAGCACTGCCATCCGAGAAATCAGTCTGCTGAAGGAACTCAAGGATGACAATATCGTTAGGTATAATGTTTTAAACTATGTCAACTGCTCCCTGTGGCTAAATGTCTGTGTTAGACTGCTAGATATTGTGCACGCCGAACAGAAGCTTTATCTCGTCTTTGAGTTCCTGGATGTTGACTTGAAGCGCTACATGGAGAACGCCAACACATCCGGTACGCCCATTTCCATCGGCATAGTCAAGGTGAGTCAGCTTGGCATTTAAAATCGCTTCTTGTTGGTTCCCTGCCCATCATTTGTGATCCCTGACGCGTGGCGAACGCGTGTTTCGCGCTTCGGCGCGTGGTTTGATGCAAAGGCGTCAATCAGTTGCTGCGCCTATGGCGTTTTCGCTAGCGCGAGGCATCGGAATGCTTGGCCCATGCTATTTTTGTACATTTAGCCTTAATTCCACCATACACATTTTCAGATTGGCATCGTCACATCAATTGATAGGGGATATGGTGTGATGTGATGCTAGGGCAGGGACGCGAAGCGGTCGTCACGTGATTCGGCAATTTGGCTAACCGCGTTCCTATCGCATTATAGCGATTTACTCATCAGCTCAATGCTGGCCTTTTGTACTGTCATTCGCACAGAATCTTGCATCGCGACCTGAAGCCTCAAAATCTGCTTATTGACAAGAAAAACAATCTCAAACTTGCAGATTTTGGTCTTGCGAGAGCTTTTGGCATTCCGATGAGGACATACACCCACGAGGTAATGAGTACCCCTAAACTTTCTTTCTTGCGAGTGACATTGTGAGCTAATTGTTTGTACTACCATTCCAGGTGGTAACGTTGTGGTACCGCGCGCCTGAAGTATTGCTTGGCTCTCGGCACTACTCGACAGCTATTGACATGTGGTCTGTTGGGTGCATCTTTGCTGAGATGGTGATGCGTGGGAGTCCTCTGTTTCCTGGTGATTCTGAAATTGACCAGATCTTCAAGATCTTCAGGTAACGCCCTGCATAATTAGACTGGCCTGAAAGAATAACTGACAATTAACTGTTCCTTCAGGATCCTCGGCACTCCAAGTGAAGAGACTTGGCCAGGCGTGACTCAATTGCCTGATTACAAGGATACATTCCCTCGATGGTCGAAGCAGGAGCTCAAGAGTGTCGTACCTAATCTTGATGACCAAGGTCTGGACTTGCTTGCGGTATGTTGTTAATTTTTTGTTTGTCGTGATACACATTTCCTTTTTTTTTCATTGACCTTTGCCGAATGCTTACATACTTTTTCGTAGCACACTTTGACTTTTGACACAGCAAAACGGATTTCTGGTATGTGTACAACTAGCTTGCTTATTTCTTTTGGTCTCACCATAATTTAAGCAAAACGCGCTCTCAACCACCCTTACTTCGCGCACTACACGCCATCATGACAAGTTCTTCGCATCTGAGTAGATCGCATACATAATTGATATATTCCACTTCCTTGTTGCCCTTCAGGCTGTCGTCCAGGACTCTTGTCTCCATATTTCGTATCACAGTCAGTAGCCTAAAATACGTCGAATGTGATAGTATGTGCATCGTTCGGAAGGCTCTCGGTAGGAATCCGGACAGGTATCTCGAAAAGGATATCTCGGTCCGGTATTATTTACGTCAAGGCGATAAAGCACGGCCTTGAGGACAGCACCAAGTCCCCCCCTCTCACTCGCTTTCATTCCTACCGCCACCAGCGCACAGACCTCTTTCTTCTCCTCCATATCTTCAGATTTTTGCTCTACACTGTAATCAACGGTTATCATGGACGACGAAGTCGAGTATTTGGGTACCAATTTTGCTCAGCCTGCTGCTTGCCCCTGTGATCCACAGCAACCGGTGACGGGTAAGCACCGTCGTTACTTGCTTGAACAACACCTCCTAGATATATCTTTATCAAGGTGTCACTCTGCACGTCGAGTCGTGCGGTGGAAAGCCCGCTCATAATGTTTCCTTCTTCAACACCCGCACCTCTCATGTTCACATCGGTCGCA